GGAAGATTTTTCTCTTCTACATGCAGTTTCTGTTCTTTTTATTAGTTATTAACTATGTAGGCCGATTGGCCATATCATATAATAGTATTATGTCTTTTAGTATAATTTTATGTGTTGTCTAATTTATCGACATATGATTTGCAATTGTAAGCTTCCGCATAACGCCTTAATCACTGTCGAACCCAACACATGTTTCAATAGGACTTAGGAGTTTGATGACATATCCATACAATCTCTTATTCTGAACTTGAAAACTAAGCTAAAACCAAGATAAAACTAATTGATGTATGATAGTGAAGTAGTGAGAGTGAAAGGCTTGGAACTATTGTAGAGATGGTAATGAGGCGAGGCAGCATGGATACGGGACGGGGAAGGACGGTTTTAATATTATGAGGCTGCAGAGTTGAAATAATTTTCTTAAAATCTAGTGTGAGGTGGAGCGGGTTGCGAGTCATCTTACTAATTAAACTAAATTTGATAATCTGAGCTATATTTCATGCAACAAATTTCTACTATATTTACTAAAACAAATTGTGTTATAAGAAGTTGACCGCTCCACATATTAAAATTAAAATAAAAAATAAAAAAATTGTTATCACACGGTATTTATTAAAACAAACCGTGAACACTTTTTTGTACCTTAAAATTATATTACAGAGAATTCAAAATTAAAACCACATGTAATATAAAATAAAATGTTTATGTAGTTGAGTCATTTAACTCTTTTTTTCAAAATTAAAACCACATGTAATATAAAAAAAATTGTTATCACACGGTGTTTATGTACTTTTTTTTTCATATAATATATCTATCCTCTCATGATCTAAATGTTCAGCGAAAAGGAGAGAAGATGGATATTTCAGCAATAAGCGTGATGAAGGTGGTTAAGAAGCATAAACATTAGACATTTTACATAAACTTTTTGTTTCCCATGTGATAATATTTGCAATGGTTTTTGACTGGCATTTCTTGTCTAAAACAAGATGAAAAGGAAACAATGGACGATTGGAGAAGGTTGTGGCATCAAAAGCTAGGAGTATAACAAGAACAAACCAATTGACATTGTAAGCGTTATCCTTTTCCAAAATATACCTTGTACTGTACATACTCCACAATATTCCAACTAAACCGTAAATACAAACTAACTAAGAAGAGAGCAATTTACTAGTAATGATGTTCAACATTGACAAGAGTTGTTAACACAGAGCCGAAAGGAAGCACAAACTTCACATCACTATATGTCCAAACCTCTCTTCACCTACATAAAAGCACACAAGAGAGTTAGTAACTTGCAAATGCTGAAACATAATCATTCTTTAAGCATTCAAGAAGTAAATCAGCTTTTCCAAAACAATTTCCAGGTTCCCGTAATCAAAACCGAGTATCATATTTACATTTGTTTTCTCGCACAACACATGGAAAAACAACAACCGGAGGAAGAATGAAAAATTATTTGATTTGACAACATGAAAGTTACATAATCACAAAGCAAAAATGAGCATTCATACTGTGATAGGTTATCATAGCCATTTTGGGACCGTGATCAATTGACTGTTTTATTTTCTCTTTTATTGAAAATCAAGAGGTTAACAACATAGTACAAATTATTTGAAAACACGAAAACATTCATATTGATCCACTGAGATTTCAAATGTTACCTAATAGGAAAGCGAGCTCTTGAATAAAGTTATAAGACATCTATCTAATCTTTTAAAAGCAGAGAGAGTAAGGAGATCACAAATACATGACATCTAATCAAATTAATATCTTTAACTGAATCTTATGTCAAATTGTGTCACCAAGTTAGACACAAAGCTAGAAGAACTGAAGTATAAATTCATTCAATGAGATATTTAAAGTTTAGAAACAAAAAGGAAGGTATAGCATATTTCATTACCCTTGGCCTAACAATTGGGAAATCCAAAGATTTATTTATATGTCGCACCACCTTAGCTTGAAAATATTCATTCTCGCCATTTTTGACCGAAAAGGTAATATAGAAAGTGAAGTCTTCTCCATTAACCTTGAGAATACGGTCGACCTCATATTTAGTATGCCCTAAAATGAATGAATATAGAGGAACCTTATCAGCTTTCTAGAGAAAACAAGGAAAAAGAAAAACTAGAAAGATAATGGGAAGTGTGAGTAGAGCCTACATTGTTGGCATTGTACTGCTCAAGTGCCTTTGCAGCATAACCCTTCAAATTTCAACCTCAGCGGGATATTCTAAGTATTTAGTCATGGGGTAAATGGTAGGAAGTGGACACGAACCGGGATAATCCTTAATATCAAATCCCTATCAAAGTAAAAAAAAAAAAACTCAATCAACAATCAATTAGAAACAAATATGTTTTCTCTAAAAGTAAGTTTTTTTTCCAATAAAGTGTTTCGTCTTAATAATAAGAATCAACAATCAGTAAAACAACAACAACTAGAGATATGAATCTAAAATTCTCTATAAACTATGATATAGCGCAAATAGAGAAAATATACCTTACTCTCCCGGCTCTATTGGAAGAATCTATCCAAACAGATTTATCCATCTTTTTATCATTGGGATCGACATGGCAATATAAATCTTCCATTGCTTCTTCGATATCCCAGTCAGGAAGGCTTATATCTGAAAGAGAGGATGATAAAGGTTGCAGACTTTCACAATCGCTAGATTCTCCATTTTCCTCGTCCACTTTTTGATCCGATTCGCTTGAGAATCCTCCGTCAGGCTAATAACACAATTACAAAACACACCACAATAGATATTGTCGGATTTTATCCACATCTCAAACCCTAGACCAATCTTATGATTTTTCATCCATTTCAGGACTTTTCCACGTGAATTGCGGTAAATAAATAGAGAATAAATATTCTTGAGATTGACCAAGGTCTTATATCCTAATTAAAATCCTCATAAATCTGAATTTTTTCCACCTTAAAATGAATTCAAGTCATCCCTAGGGCCACAATTATATTTTCTTAGGCTTAGAAATCGAAATACAAAAGTTGGGGATCAGATTGCTCATTTTTACGAAGATTCTTGATGAAAATATGTTGAAATTTGCCCTAGGATGCCCTTTTAATTCTTCAAAACGTTCTTGAGTGTTCTTAAGTGATAATGAGCAATTTTGGAAGTTTTTTTGCCTATAGCAACCTCGCAGCCCGAAGCGACTACTTTTTTTTACCTGATTTCTTTAAGTTCACTCTTAACGATGGGGGCAAATAGTTACATTGTTAGGGAGGAAGACATTTGGGATCACTAAAAAATAGAATAGATGCAATGCTATTTATAACAACAAAAGATCTAAGATTACATAAAATTAAAATCATTACATTTACACAACTAAAATAATGTTATTGAGTACTTCTTAAAAAAAGTATCATTGGCAAGTATTGGATTTTCAGGCCTTAAGATGCGCTATTTCTTTCGTCTTTTTGTCATGACAAGAAATTCAAGCCTAACTATTAGAACTTCTGTCCACTTAATTTTTCTCGCGACAAAACGAAAATGGAAGAGTGAGTAATTAAAAATCCTCAAATTGCTAAAAATCAAGAGTTCCTCACATTCAGAAAACAACTAGCCGTAAAAGAAAAATAGAAAACTGGAATAGACCATAAGGATGAGAGTTTTTTTTAGGAGATTAAACAATATAAAGAATTACAATACTAACTATTACACATACCGAATCAAGTGGACATTTGCAATTACTTCTTTCCATAATGTAGTGATATTTTTCTTCTTCTATTATGACTTGTTCCTTAGCAAATGTAAGCCATCTTACGGGATAATACGAAACATCCCTTTTTATCTAGCTTTCCATCAAGCTTAGACATTGGATAGTGCTTAAAGGTGCAATTCAATAGTTGTTGTTTTGATAGTGGAATAACCTCTCCTTTTCTTTTAATGGCATCCACCGTGTTAATGATCATTTTCTTCTTAAATATATATTTTCAAATTTGTCCCTTTTTACTAACTATAGAAAATCTTCGACGGCCTTTGAAATGGGAAAAAAATATACTATGTCAAAGGCTAAGAAAAAGAAACAAAACGAAATTAATTATATTATTAGTACAAAAAAAGTCGGAAAAAAAGGCGAAAGGATCTCATCATCCATACACAATGCGTCTATATCGGTTCCCTCTTATATTTATCTCCAAAAAAAATTCCAAATTATGTTTTGATTTTTAGAATTTTTTCTCAATCACAATATTTTCTACTTTTTTTTTTGAAAAAAATAAGCTTAATTAAGGTGAGAATGATGTTTTTATTTTACGTGTTTATGTTCATGTCATGATGTTTTTATTTTGAAGCATGCCTTTTTTCATTAATTTGATATTCGCTTTGGGGTTCGATTAATCAAAATTTGTAACAAAATCCACTTTGGGATAAATGTTCCTCCAGTTTCGACCTCTCTGGTTAAGGATGATAGATACTTAGTAGAAGCATGTATATGAACTATATATAGGAAATGTGAATAGAATCGGTCCTTTGAATTAAATTGTTGAAATGACGATGAATTTAATCTTCATTTCACAAGAATTTTCTAGTTTTACATGTTCATTTTCTTGTAATTGTATTAGATTTTCGGTTATATATAGCAAAAAAAAAATTGTTTTGGAATTCAAATTGAACTTGTAAGTTGTATAGTAGTGTTAACCTGTATAAAGTTGATTTCTCGTATAGTCAATCAACTTATAGTCGTTACGTTTTATAGTTATGATTTTCTAAAATCACTTTCTTTGTTCTAGAAAATCAGAATAAAAAAGAAGCATAACTTTCTGAGATAAATGAATTAGTGTTCCTAGAACATCTTTTCTTGAAAACAAGTGACTTTCTTACTTATGATCTCAAGAACGGTTATATAAAATCTATCAAAACAAAATGAGTTTGGAATGGGGTAGGGAGTGGGGGTTCGAGGATGGCAAGGACGAGATAGAAAAATTGGAAAATGTTTTCATTAGCCTTGTTTTTCAGTTGTTGATAACTTTTTACTTGTTTGAAAGTTTTAGAAAATGGCTGACGTTGAGGATATTCAACCTCTTGTTTGTGACAATGGAACTGGCATGGTTAAGGTAACAAATTTGCTTTCCAAATGTCGTCGTTTTTAATCTGCTTTGTGAATTCAATTTGATGTTGTATATCTTTTCTTTCTTGCAGGCAGGATTTGCTGGAGATGATGCACCTAGGGCTGTATTTCCTAGCATTGTTGGGCGTCCGCGTCATGCTGGAGTGATGGTAGGAATGGGACAGAAGGATGCATATGTTGGTGATGAGGCTCAGTCGAAACGTGGTATTCTTACACTGAAGTATCCAATTGAACATGGCATAGTGAATAATTGGGATGACATGGAAAAGATTTGGCATCATACGTTCTATAATGAACTTCGAGTTGCTCCAGAAGAACATCCTGTTCTGCTTACTGAAGCACCTCTCAACCCTAAGGCTAATCGCGAGAAAATGACTCAGATAATGTTTGAAACATTCAATGCCCCAGCAATGTATGTTGCTATCCAAGCTGTTCTGTCTTTGTATGCTAGTGGACGTACAACTGGTAAGATATATTTACTGTTCTTTGTTTCGAATGTTAATTTTCCTTTCATGTTGCTATGTTTTCTTCCTCTATCGTTTTTCCCCTTTTCATAATGATTTGCTGCACTTCAGTGAAAGGGGTCCTTCGGGATGTAAATAGTGAATTGTAGTCAAATATGATTCATGTTTTCTTGCAGGTATTGTGCTGGATTCTGGAGATGGTGTGAGCCACACAGTTCCTATATATGAAGGTTATGCACTACCTCATGCCATCCTACGTCTCGACCTTGCTGGTCGTGACCTTACTGAGTACATGGTGAAGATTCTTACTGAACGCGGATACTCCTTCACTACTACTGCTGAGAAGGAAATTGTAAGGGATGTGAAGGAGAAATTGGCATACCTTGCTCTTGATTTTGAGCAAGAACTTGAGACAACCAAGACAGGCTCTGCTGTTGAGAAGAACTATGAACTGCCCGATGGACAAGTGATTACTATTGGTGCTGAGCGTTTTCGATGTCCTGAAGTTCTTTATCAACCTTCTTTGATTGGAATGGAAGCTGCTGGAATTCATGAGACGACGTATAATTCTATAATGAAGTGTGATGTTGATATTAGAAAGGATTTGTATGGGAACATTGTGCTTAGCGGTGGGTCAACTATGTTTCCTGGCATTGCTGATAGAATGAGCAAGGAAATTCAAGCCTTAGCACCAAGTAGCATGAAGATCAAAGTGGTTGCTCCTCCTGAAAGGAAGTATAGTGTCTGGATTGGAGGTTCAATTTTGGCATCCCTCAGTACCTTCCAACAGGTGAGCATTTTCCTTCCGTTATTTTTACTAGCTCAACTAATCTGGATTCACACTGTAAAAACCCCCCACCATGGAGGGTCTTACCCGACCTACCATAGAGGGACATTTCCTTCATTTGTTTGGGTTTAATAACCTAGTTCCCAAAATCCACTAGCTTGACTAATTTGGATTCATGCCATAGAAATCCCAGTATATGGGGTTTTGCCCACCCTACCAAAGTGAAGCATTTTCCTTCATTTTTTTGGTTTAACCACCTGGTTCCCGAAACCTACACTAGCTTGATCAATTTGGATTCAGATCGTAGAAATCCATTATGGGCTTTTTTTGGGATCCTACCAAAGAGGGGCATTTTCCTTCATTGTTATACATGTGTGCTTGATTTTCAACTGATTGAGTTATTTATCTTTATGTTGATAATGATGATAATTAACATATTTATCATTGTTTGGATTTGTAGATGTGGATTGCTAAAGCAGAGTATGATGAGTCTGGCCCCTCCATTGTGCATAGAAAGTGCTTCTAATCAGAACAAATGTTGAGTCTGGTTCAACATTTGAGTTTCTGATGGCAATTTTAGTCCTCTCTTGGTGACTCGAACCAACAACCTTGGATTCGAGACAGAGGATACTTACTATTTGAGCAAGCCTTCGTGTCACTTGGGTTAATTGGTCGTTGGAGTTTATTTCGTTACTTACTAGGAGTATTAATCAATTGTAACTGGTCTAGAACATCATCAAATAATAATTTGTGATAGACCTTGAAGCTATTTTCTTAACGAAGAATTATTGCATAAAAATAGAAATAAAGTTTGCGTACATTTTTATTCTCTGTTAGAATGGTAAAGTCCAGTGACACTTACGAAAATTTATAGACATTAATATTTTATTAAATGGTTAGGAATCGTAAAAGAGCTTGGTAGTTGCAAATCCATCTTAAAAGATCGTTAAATAATACAATATATTCAAAATAGTTTCTTAAATACTCTTTTCGTTTATTTTTACTTGTCCAGTTAGTACTTCGCAGTTTGCAAGCTCTTAAGAAACAATGGTTGTCATGAGTATTTTATCACAATACACATTTTCTCTTAATATGTTAAAAGTGAAAATATATTTTTAGTACAGTGAACAACTAAAATTAAACGAAAAAAATATATTTAGGAGTATTATCGGTTTTTTAACCAAAAAAAAAACATAACATGAACTAAACGACGTCGTTACTTTGAGCTGCTGTAGAATTTGGGTATCCCAATTTCTGTATCAGGGAAGACCCAAATTGCAGAAAGATCCGAACTTGAGAGGAAGGAAGAAGAGGGAATACAAGAATTGTGGTGAAAAAATGGGTAAAATTGTAGTAGCAGTGATTGTAAGTTCATGGGTAGTAGCTGTATCCATCCTCGTCAATCGTATTGTCACTGAACCTTACATGGTAATCAAGTTTTCTTGTTTAATATGAATGTAATTTATTGATTTGATAATCTTCTATGGATTTTGAGCTGAGGTCTATCGGAAACAACCCCAATTGTGGGACTACACTGGGGATATGTTGTTGTTGTTGGAGGTGTAATGTGGATATGGATGATTTTGAATCTTTTGAGACTCCACTTGTGGGATTACACTGGGTATGTTGTTATTGTTGGAGGTGTAATGTGGATATGGGTGTTTTTGCAGGATGAGATATTCCACATACCTCAAGCGCAACAGTATTGCAAAGGCAATTTCAGAAGTTGGGATCCCATGATCACCACCCCTCCGGGGCTGTACGTACTATCTCGTTCCTCTTTTATTTCGTATGATTGCTTGCTTCGTCGTTGGTTTAGGTAGTGTTGTCAAAATTGTTCCTGCTTTGTACTGTAACTTCAGAGAGCATGTAACAGAGGGAGTAAATTACATGTGGCATTAGCCTCTTGGAGTCGATATATGGTAAATGAAATGTGATAGCATTAGCTTCATGTAGTCAATTTTTCTGGAAGAGTTGGGAATATGTTGTATGGCTACAAGTTGAGAGCTTTTCGTCAATTCGTTTCTTGATCTTTTTGGTGTTAAATTATGGTTCAGAGCTACATCGACTAAATAGCGAGATACATGATCTAGTTAGGGTGGAAACCAAACATGTCTGCTTGGAAATAGGAATTGTACATGCTATGCTCTTCTTGCCAAGCTTACAAGATCTTAACCATTTTGTGTATCTACAGATTATGAGTCTTTTCCCTTTCATTGATTGCAAAAATGTCAAGTATTTTTCTTTTTTAAGTACAACTTCACTTTGTTGATGATCTTAGTTTATTAAGTGGTTTATTCATAAATGAGTTATTGGTAGTTGGTACCAGTCTTACAATCTTTCTCCCAAGTTATCATGAAAAGTGGCTTACGGGAAGATTCTATGCAAAGAGTAAATATGAAGGAGGACCTGTAGTGTACCAGTGTTAGATAACCTCAAGTTATTGAATGTTGGGGCGAACAAGTCCAATAGAGGTTTCAAAATAACCTACCCCAATTTCAGTAGTAGTTGTAGTAGAATGTCAAATCTTGGCTAGGAGAGAATTTCTCTGTTCATTGTTTACATGTACTTCTAGTTGCAAAAAATGAATATGTTATGTATGATTTGTAAGAGAACAATATCAGTCCAGTGCATGTAGACTCTGTATTGAAATTCCACTAATCCTCCTTAGTGATTAAGGTTAGAGACTTTCTTGTGATGTGGTGTTTTTCTAGAAGCCTTTCTACTCTTCCTAGAGACTTGTATGTCTGTGTAAGGATAGGTATGAGATTTGCAGAGTCTCTAGCTTTATAGAAATCATTATTTGCCTTAAAATATAGATTACGTAGTAGTGGAATGAAAATGGGCTCAACTAGAGCGAATTGGATTTAGACCTAGAGACTTGTATGTCTGTGTAAGGATAGGTATGAGATTTGCAGAGTCTCTAGCTTTATAGAAATCATTATTTGCCTTAAAATATAGATTACGTAGTAGTGGAATGAAAATGGGCTCAACTAGAGCGAATTGGATTTAGACCTAGAGACTTGTATGTCTGTGTAAGGATAAGTATGAGATTTGCAGAGTCTCTAGCTTTAGAGAAATCATTATTTTCCTTAAAATATAGATTACGTAGTATTGGAATGAAAATGGGCTCAACTAGAGCGAATTGGATTTAGACCTAGAGACTTGTATGTCTGTGTAAGGATAAGTATGAGATTTGCAGAGTCTCTAGCTTTAGAGAAATCATTATTTCCTTAAAATATAGATTACGTAGTATTGGAATGAAAATGGGCTCAACTAGAGCGAATTGGATTTAGATGATTCATAATGCAACTAATTCATTAAGGTGCACTTGATAGATGGAGTAAACCAAAAGGAAATAAACTAATACTCTCTATTTCATTTTACATGATACTCTTTCCTTCTAGACTGTTTCAAAAGAATGGAACTTTTTTATTATATTTGATTTGCTTTTAGTTTGAACTACATATTCTACCCTTAATTAGATGCCCTTATAGCCATAGAAATGGAATGGCATGTAAGGACCACAAGTTCTAAGGGTACTTTTGTTGTGTGCCAAAAGTTGGTCTTTTCTTTCTTTCTTCAACATTGTGCCCAGTCAAACTGTCAAATACACTATATAAAAGGAAATGGAGAGAGTGGTAGCAATATAATTTACTCTAACACCCATCTAACATAACTTAATATTGTAATAGATGGTGCAATCCCACATCCATTCCCAAATCGTGTCGGATCGAATGGGTGAGGCATGATTTGACGTGTCCGAGCAACATAGATGGTGCATTATCCATGCCATTCTTCCACCCATTCCTTCCAGTTTGTCATCTACTCCAACACTGTTCAAAATTCATTTAGGATAAGTACATATGTATAGTAGTGTTTGTCTACATATGCTAGCTTCATGAGTTGGTATTATGTTTTCCACATTTACAGTTTCGAGTTATTTTTGGGTTTCCATTATATAGGGTCACCGAGTGTTGGTTTTGAAATATAAGATGCAATTTTGCAACTAAGTTATATTGCCTGAGGAATTCATTAAGTTACTTTGAACAATGTTCCCCTGTCCGAAAAGATAGTGCTACTTTCCCTTTTGGCAGTCCCTGAGTGATGCCTATTTTCTCTAATAGGAATCTTTATACAATTGGACCCTCTTATCCACATAACTCAATACAACTTATTTTCCTTTTTTAATTCTTTTTTTTGGTAAGGTTGTTAACCTTACTTTACAACAAAAAAAAGGCAGTAAGGAACCTCTTTCTAATTCTGAACTCCATAAACAGAAAGTTCAACAATGGATTCACATATTCCTGAGTAAATATTCTCTGATATGCTAGGTCAAATAAGATATAAATGAGATGGACTGATGGAGGGTCCAAAATCAATAGATCTTTGGCAATGAGGTTCAATGTTAGTAAGTATATGTCAGCTAAATGCTATAGAACATCACCAAATGATAAAAGGAATTCTCTTAGATTTGTCTCTTTTGTTTTTCAAAGACAAAAAGGGATATAGAAGGACACAGATAAAAGAGTGGAGCTAGCTGATATCACATAAATTGTGCCATGACCTTGATCCATGTTAGATATGAAAAGAAATATTCTCTAAGATGATTCAGTTGAAAAAAACACTATAGATTTAACTGATAAGGGAATTTGATGCAAATAATTTAAAACTTTTGCAGGTACATTGTTTCACTTGCCTATGTTGCTTCTTTGTTTCCAGGGATATTCTCTATGAAAGCAGATGTTTCGTTTTCAGATGCTTGTTCCTCTTCCATCCTACGCTCCAGCAATGGTGTATTGGCTGTATTTTGCAGCATGATGGTTTACAACATACTTACCCACCTCAGACCTTCTCTTACTGACAGAAAAGTAACTCTTCGGACAGTTGTCCTTTCATTGTATCCCCTTCACTGGTTCTTCACTTTCCTCTATTATACAGATGTAGCATCGCTAACTGCTGTACTGGCATCATATCTTATGAGTCTTAAGAAGAAATATTTCTTCAGTTCCCTGGTAAGAGGATCAACTCAATCCCATCTAATTCTTTCTAGTTGATAATAATGGGGAGCAAAGTTATAAATTGACTTTTATTCAAACTCTTTATAGCCCATTCCTTGTCATAGAATTGTTTTCTTCTTTATAACTTTTGCGATTAATATCAATCAAAAGCTATAATGTTGTTCCAAGCATAGATTCTGCACTTTACTTATTCATGCACCAAACATATTCCAAGGATATATGTCATTTTGACATCTGACAAATTGCTGATTACTGTATTCCTCATGTAAGACTGCAGTGTGCTTTGAGTACTGTATTATATTGTTGCCTCCACTTGAACTGTATCAGAAGAATAACAATACTCAATAGTAAATATGGGGAGAGAGAGAGAATAAAAGAAACAGTAACTATAGTTCAACTTCATAACAATTTATCTTCCTCTCAAGCCCGATTTACTTTAATGTTATTGTTTTGCATGCTATGAATAGTTCCATTTAATGATCAGATATTGAATTTGACCATGTTGTTTTTCTAATTGTGAAGTTAAAGTGTGTTCATACATCTGA